CTTTCAGCCATACTAACAAGCTAGCTCATCACGTCTGGCCCCCAGTGAAATGTAACATTTCAGGTAACAAACTTCTATGTCTAATTATGGTTGCTTGCTTTTCTTTTGGTGAGAAAAAACTAAAAGCGTCATCGTTTGACCAACCAGAGGGTTCTTTCCCCCCGCTTTTAATTTGGTTCCAAAACCACCACAGCCCTTCTTGGGTGTCTATGCCCATTTCCTAGGAAACATGGTCTCACAGTAAGTTAATAAGAGTTAGTTCCTAAATCCTTAAGTCATCTATGAAAATAGGATTTAGACTCGTATATGGATCCAGTTCTTTTGACTATTGTATGCAACAACAGTTCAAGCAATTATAGCAGCTATGAGAGGTAGAAAAGTTCAAGCACTCAGGTGAATACATTCACATTAATCTGTGTTTGCAACATCAGTTCAATTACACTCTTTGGCACGGACAAAAGAAATTAAATTTTAAGAGAAAGCATTGCTGTATGAATATTCCTCGCAACAACAGAATGGAAAGATACTATTAATTATATGCCTGTGTTTAAATAAACAATACTGACTATGTATTAAGCAAATTGCAGTCTAACCTATCAGAAGCAACGGTGAAGTATTTAAGTGTTTTGAGAGAGTGCAGTTGTTGTTTTTCCCTTCTATACAAGGAGTATTTCAAAATGCTGTTTTCTGTGCAGTTGTTAGATTCAGAAATTACTGACTGGAATCTTGTCATTTCAAAAAAAAAAAAGGCGGAAAAAACCGTTGGGTGTATATCTACTAAAATACAATTCAGGATAGATTTATTCTTTCTAATGGAGGACAAGAATAGAAATATACACTTTATGGGATAAGGGGAAAATTATGAACAGAAATACCTCTAAAACAATTTCGGCACTCGTGAAGCTCTTAGGAGCATTCTCTCGCTATATGCGGGTGTGGAAACTAGCCATGCAAAAACTGACTCTTTTCCCAAACTGCCTAAGCATGAGGAAAGGATATTTGTGGTCTCCAGGGCCATCTTCTGAGGGTAAAAATTCCAATGAGATAAAAATGGGCTATTTCCATCAGCAGAGGAAATAGTCTGAAACACCAATTTAGGATCTGGATACAGACAGGATTCCCATTAGTTCAAGGATGTTCACACCCAAGTGGTTGATTTACAAGCAGAGACAAAAGTTTTGTCAAAGTGCAAGTCAGACTGCAAACTGTAAATCTGACCAGTCTGCATGATGAAAATCCAAAAAGCAGTGAAAACCGATTTTAGATACATTATGTTCGGGATGTGAGCTTTGGAGAAGGGGGATGATAAAAGCCACATTCACCCAAACGCAAGGTTTTCACGTTCTGTCTTGCACTGAACATTTTGCAAGTGACATCAGTTTTGAATATGCACATTTGATTCTGTATTTTCTAAGATCCATAACATAGACTGAAGTATGTTTAGGGGTTGCATAGGAAACCCATTTCTAGCATAAAGTCTACATGACCACACGTAGCCCTTTTGTCCTCAAGAAATACATACCAGCTTGCTACACTAAATATGCCCTTGAGTTTCTTCTCTGACTAAGAAAATTAAAAAAATTTTGAAATGAATTTTCCCATCTAGACTCTTAGTACTATGTAACTGTTTTCAATATATCTTTTTTGCCTTTGTCGCTTTATCTTTGCTTCCACAAATAATTGACTGTCCACTGAAAACAGGCTAGCTGTTTTGAATCAGGATATTGCATTGTGTTGCAGAAGAATATGTTTTGGCAACTGAGGGGTTAACATTGTGATCAAACTATGTTCTGTTTGTCTCCTGCATGTCTATGTTTTAAATAAGTGTAAATTCATAACAGGACCTTGTCCATGACAGGGTCTCCTGTTAGGAGACCACAGGGCAGAATTCCTGAATTGGCAATATTGTTCAGAGGCAAAAATACCCTCTGGTCATGCAATAAAACTGTACAGTGCATGTTCCTATTCCCTTCAACTCTGCTTCCGTCCTGGAAACTACCCAGGGCAAATCTCCAATGTTTTGTGTAGGTGAGGGAAGGCCGTGAAGAGAAGTGCAACTCTGTTCCTAGCAGGACTGATACCAGACAACGTCAGAATGGTACCCAGAGACATCTGCAACCCCCCATTCAAAACACACTCCAGTCCTTCGGAGCTGGTGCACTGGCCAGCGCTGACCCACCCCTCTCACATCACAACTCCATCCACCTTTGGATATCATATGCGAAGTGTCACTTCACAGATCCCAAAGCTAAGAAAAAGGCAGTGTAGAAAGTAAAGGCAACCAAACAACTACTCCGGCCCATGCTCCCCGTTAACAGAAGAGCTTATACCCGTATCACAGTTAAACAAGCGATTTGTCTCTGGCGTATGTTTGTGTATATGCTACATACACATGCATCGCCTCCCTGACACTGAATGCCTTCGTGAATGAAGTCTATGTGTTCAAGCATCCAAAACCGATTATTCCAGTGATCGTTTTTCTAAAGGACCGTAGAAGCATTGGCGCAGCAAGCATGTGTCCTTCAGTTTTTAAAGTAAATCATCAGGCTCTTATCTTTGTGCTTCCTACTGAAAGATGAAAGATGTCTCATGGATTCATGGGATAAGATGCTATGAGCTTTTTTTGCCCTCAGGAGAAAATTCTATTCCAAAAATAGCTTCAACTGTTTCTTTAAAAAAATAAAAAACTAGCATTGATTTAAAAACTCAACCAAAACTTTTTAGCTCATATTTTCCTAACGCATTGCACACTGCTGGCAGGGAATTGAAGGGGAAGTTAAACACGGATGGTGGCCAGGACACATGTAATATATTCATTATAACAGAATACTTGTGTGACAATATTTCAGTGTGCTGGAGAGCAGCATCAGTTTGCATTTGACAAAGTAAGGCGCTATGAAAACTTACTAGTCTTACTAGTAATTTACACAGGCCAAAGTAAAGACCCACTGAGTCAGGGGGAACATCATAGCATTCAAACAACTGCAACCTGCAGTCTGCACCGGTACGGCCCACAGCTTTGCTATGGGCAGCAGCAGAAGAAGCTGCACGGGCAGAGGCCACAAAGCTTTTTCCTTTGTATCATATAACAATAAAAAAATACAAACATAAATATCACCCAATATATATATAAATAATATTGCCTTTCTAACCCATTTTCAGCCTGGCATCACCAGGTTGGCCTGGGTGTCCAAGCTTTAGGGGAAGAGTCTGCAGAAATCTAAATGCAAACAAAAAAGCTCAAGCAGACTCAGACACAGCATCCTTGCACTATACTCATTTCTTCCCTCAAACCAGCCGGAGAGCTGCTCATCGCACACTCTTGCCTCCCACCTGCTCAGGGGCTTCCTTCAAAACTAGCCTTGCTTTTAAACGTCACTCATTCTCCCTAGCTGGGTGCCTGCTTCGCTTCACCTGGTCAAGTGTGTGAGGCTGGGGAGGAGAAACCTTTTGCACATGGGATGCAAAGTTCAGCATATTTTATACCTTACAAGCCAACTCCAACAGCCAAGGTATTGTTACACTTGCACACGGCAAAGAGTAGACAAGAGCATCAGCTGTGGATAACTTCATCAAAAGCAGGATCCTCTTCCTCCTCATCCTCCTCATGATTAGTGACTGAGCTGTAGCTCAGATGCCTCAGAGGAGAGATGATGAAGAGACACTTGCTGTCCCCTGCCTCTCGCTTCTCCAGATCATCAGGAAAGGAGCAGAGAACTCTGGTTCCAACCCACAAATTACTTCAGCCTAAGCCTGATTTGGCACCTGCAAAAACACAGAAACATGCTCCCATGAGAGGAATTAGACATACACTGAAGTAATTTGTGGGAGGAGACATCACTGTTGACTCTGAAATTCAAAGCAAGGTTGGAAGGAGAAATAGAGTTTTCTACAGTTGGAGAAAGAGCTGAGGAAATAGGATTACTTTCAGGCCCCAAGTCTTTCTTCATGGCATGAAGGGGAAGGCCCCCTGGCAAAGCACTTGTCTGAAAGAGTCTCTCTCTTGTTAGACCAATTGCATTTTAAAAATACTCCAACAGTCCTAATCTTTGAATTTTAAGTTGGCATTAACTAGCTTGATCTCTTATTTCCTTTCACCGAGGATTTCCTCTCTCTTCCTCTGATATCAGTTCACCACTGCAAAAAAGCCACAGGTCTAAACCTTTCAAAGGAATTATATTCCCTTGTGGGGCGAAATCAATCCTGAAAAACAAGATCCCTCTACTGGCAGCCTTGACCAGCTGAGATTATAAGCAGTGTAGGTTATCAGGACCTGCTTGCTGCTTATACCCCATGGAGGATTTTCTTCCTAAACCTATGAGAGCAATTTGGCTGTTAAATGTAATCTTGGATTTTATGCTCTAAAATGCTTAGAAATTCAGGGCCTTGTTATGCTTCCAAATTCTGATTCAACTAAACATTTAAGCAGGTACTTAACTTTAAGAGCCAAACAGTTCCCAGAAGACAATAGTAAATTTGCACAGTTGTGCTAGCTACAGGCTGGAGCTCTTGTTGAAAGCCAGAGTGCCTGTTCATCCAGTCTATCTGCATGCTGGCTTGCACAAGACCTCAACTGTGGAGCAGGCAACTGGCTCTCTAGACAGGGAAACTGAAGATGGATGCAGTAGAAGCCTGCTACCTTCTTTCCCTCTGTCCCCATTTACCAGGCAATGTAGATGCACATGATTTGCACTCATGATGCAATAAATTCAGTCTCAACTCAAGCAGCCCCAGAAATCTTCTTGCACCTAAACTTGGCTGTTTGCTTACGTTTCCTGCTAAATCACGGACCGTCGAGTATCTTGAACCTGGGGATAACTGACTGTATTCTAGCACAGCATTCATTCTCTGCCATGCAAATCCCATGCTCATCTGAGTGATTCTTATTGGATGCCCTTCTCATCACAGCCATCCACTTTTTTCATTGAACCACTGGTCAAAAAAGCCCAAAAACGACAACAGTCGCTAGAATTACAGTTCTCCATTTTCACATCAAAGCGACAACAGTCGCTAGTGAGCTTTGTGAAAATTACAGTTCTCCATTTTCACATCAAAAAACGATTAGCCCCGGTACTCCTGCCCATGAGTGGGGAGAACAGGCCTATTCAGAACGGAATCACCTATGCAAATGCTTACAATAATTTTGCATACCTTCTGTGACATGAATATCACACATAAATTCTAATACTCGAAATTGGATAGTATATAGTAATAGGCACCAAGTTATATAGTATTAATGCTTGCACATTCATATATCTGTTCAACTTAATCTCTTACTATGCAAGCTTCAGCAATTGCTAGCTACTCTACATTTTAGGAAGTCATAATAAATGTTGATCATGCAAAAATCTAAGAAACAAAAACACAAATATTCTCCACCATCCCTCCAAATGTTACACAGCTTTTTACAGACACTTTAATAATATAGTGGTTTCATGACATTCACTACAACTATCTAATAGTAAGAATAAAGTCTAAACTCAAAAGTAACTCAAAATTAGAGCAAGAGCAAAAGGTTTGTCAGCACTGTGTCCACACACACAGCAAAAGCAGAGACAGCAAAAGCCCCATCTGTACCTGGACCAGAGCACAGAATCACAGAATCGTTTAGGTTGGAAGGGACCTCTGCAGATCATCTAGTCCAACCTCCCTGCTCAGTAACCTAGAATAACGTGAGAATAGGGTCAGTGTTGCTGGCAAAAGGAGGGAGAGGGAGAGAGAAGGGACTGGACACAGCCCCAGTTACAGTGGGGTTGCAGTATAGTTTGAGAAAATAGTCTAGATGCTGTAGCCTCGTCTTGCTAGCACAGTCCTCAAAAGTGGTGGTCAATTCCCCCAAAGGTCAGCGATAGCAAGGGGGAACTGCTTGCAACAGCTGGCTACAGCTAGTGCTGCTCCCTGCATGTGTAGGACAGAGTTTGCTGCATTAACAGCACATGGGGCAGTTCATTGTCTATGTCCTAACAAAAATATATCTGTCAAGAATTTCTCATTAAGGAACCGAGTAGTTCCCAAATATATATCTTTTCTGGAAAGAAAAGATCTCACTCACTCAATTCTCTAACTCACCTTCAGCTCACACTACTGAAAAACCTAGATCCTGCCCTGTAAATTTGCTTACACTTCAGATCATGCCACTTTTCTCATCTTGCAAAGAGGTTCGTGAAGAGGATCTTCCTAGCAACAGCTCCTTCTCATGGATCAGGCTATCTAGCAGGTCCTCCTGTCTGTAGTTGTGATAAACCTTCAGGAAAGCCAGAATGGTAATTCCCAGCCAAGTCAGCCAGGCAGCCCAGAGACCAAACTGGAGAAGAAAAGAAATGGTAAAGAGGTCAGTACTGTTTTGTAAGTTGAAGTCAACCGTCCAGATGAAGACCAGAATCTCAGCTCAGCTGAAACCCATAGAGTCATCCCAGCTTCCACCCAGTAAGGTCCTGGCCCCACAGTTTCTCAATCCTGTCAAGTTATTCCTAGCTTAAAGGGAAATCCCTTTATTTACTAGAAAAAAATAAAGCAAAAAGTACTAAAGACAATAAGAAAAATTTCTATATAAACCACAGGCAGCTGCTGACCTTCCCATATCTGGCATTCTGGCCATCCCAAAGTTCTTGGGATTGTTTCAGTTTAGTTTAGTTACTTTGGAATAGCAATATAGTTTAAGACACTTTCAAAAGCTTCCTTCCTAGATTCTTTGGGCCTTGCCACTCCCCCCCTGCAAGAGCATAAATTTTAAGGCGCTTCTATTCAAAAATATTGTTGAGAAAATCTTATCAATAAACTTGTTGCATTCCAGGGTAACTAGTTCACATTAGGGTGATCCAAGAGCAAGAGAAACCTATTCCAGTGCATCCAAATGCCTGGTGGCTGTTTTATAAGCGGTATGCAAGAGCTTGGCTTAAATCCCCGTATCTCCAAAAACTCCTGTCACCAACTGAGCAATCTCTCTTCTTCAGCTTCATAGAAATAATTATAATTTATTGGTTCAGGTACTTGAATGTGGACCTCCCATGTCTCAGAGGAGGTTTATTTGTAATAACGTTTTTCTAGCAGAAATTCCACTTTAGTTCTGTTAGGCCTTTAGCAAAGAAACACTAATCGAATCCCTGTATTTCAGTTTGACATACTGCACTTTTTATTAAAAAAATAAAAACAATTTAAACACTGGCAGACAGTAACACAGCTGTTTACTCTAATAGCCAATTTAGATAACCAGTGACACTGTTCTTAAAAGGAGTTTATGTTCCTACACGTCTTATGCACTTTAGCAAGTCTCCTAAGTACTTCTGCCCATGCTTACAGCTATCTTAGTTCACCAGTAAAAGTATTTCTGAGTTATTCTACAAATCCTGTGAATAAAAAGATATTCATTTGGCTTTATACGACACAATATAGAGAACTGGAAGTCTTGCATTCATTTGTTAAGTGCTACTTCATTAATTGTTATCTTAAAAACCTTTGGATATATAATATTGCTGTTCTTCTTGGCGTATTTGGTATGAAATAATTTGAATAGATTTAGTTAAATTTAGTGAAATTTCCAGAGTCATTCTGATGTGTTGGAAACATCTGAATGGAGCAAAGCAGAGAGAGATGGGATCTGTGTGCATGTGTTCGTGTTTGTGTGTGCTTGTACATGCATACATGCACACACCGATGTCTAAAGGTATAATAAACCTGCCTGTTTTTATCCTTCCAGATTTTATCCAGAGCCCATCTCTGTAATTCTTAAATTGTCAGCAATCTTGATATCTCCACTCAGAGCACTGCTAGCAAGTGAAGTCTACTGTAGGAAAGCATTGCACTCACAAGAAAATAAGTTTGCTTTCTCCAGAAAGTCTAGTCTATTTTGGGGTTTGTCATTCTACTCAATTCAGAGAAATGCATTTGCATTCCACAGACAAACCTATCCTCCTGCTGTCATTTAGCTCTGCTTACCACGTCCCAGATACTAGAAGACAAAGTTGCAGGATTTGTTCCCTGCTCGGTTCTCTTCTCTAATAATCTCCCTCAGGGTTCCCTTTGCCACCGCCAGGTTCAGCTCCTGCAGCTGAACGGTGTTTCCTTGGAGCTGTTATGCTCCCAGGCTCCTCATATGTGAGTGTTTGCAGAGGTTACAGGAGCACAGGCTGCACCTTGCAGGCTAGCAGCAGCCAGGTCTGGAGGGACATGGATTAGAAGGAGGACCCTGATCCAGCAGCTTGGGCTGACCCTTCTGCACTGTGCTGTGGTTAGCTGTCCTCCAGTGGCAGTACTACATGTGCAGACCTTGACCTTTTAAGCATGGTTCCCTGTTGGAGAAATGCCTTCTCTTGCATATAGATTATCCACAATCCACCCTGATACCGTCGCTGGGATATTTAGTTCCCATGAGCTCAAAGCTATGCCGGGTAAACAGGTTCACTTCTGTTACCCTCACGCTAGCTGGCAGATTAAGAGCAAGATACAGCTCCTGGCAAAATTTACTAAAATATAGCCTAGGCATGGGCTAGCATGATACAAAGGGGTCACTTTTATGACATATCTCTGCCCTACAGATAGATATTTCTGAGCTGGGTCTGCAGATGCCAGCGCTGGCAGTGAAGACACAAAGGTAGCTTTTATCCAAGAGGCACAGTTGCCTTCAAGTAGTGCCCCAGGCAAGCTAATGCACCTTCCCATGAGAAACGACTTGAGAAGCATTTATATGGGTACAGCCCTGCATGAATGAGACTGTTCTGCTTGCAGAACTGTGTCAGTATATGTTCATGTGCTTAAGTCTAAAAAGGACAGTGGGAATGTTCATTGGCTTCGAGCACCGACAGAGCTGACATATTCAATAAAATGGTCTGACAGCCTTAGGAATCTAACTCACAAAGATGCACCAGAAAAAAGCCCTATCTAAATGACAATAATTTTTCATTATTTTCATTGGACCTATATTTATATGGGTTCAAGGGAGCTCAGACAAACTCACGGAAGAGAAAGCTAGATGGACCTATGGTCTGACGAAATTCAGCCATTCTGTTTTTTTTTTCCCCAACAGCAAGGAAGGGCTCCAAGACAGTAGAGTGCTGAGGCCTTTGTAGAGCTTAGCCTTTGCAGAAATAATAACTTTTCCTGGTGAGTAATAAGATCAGTGGTAGAGTCAGGTTTTGACAGGTTCACATTTGAAACTATCTATTTTGAACTTAAAATACAAATGTGTCGATCAGTGTCATCCTGATTCAGTACTTAGAAGTCAGCGTAAACATTCACATTGATTTTAGAGGATTCACATTGATTTTAGAGATGCTCTTACGATCTGAGATCAATGAGCAAATGGTAAATGAACTGGAATAGAACCATGACCTAGTCTGACCTACCTGTGCAATAGCAAACTGGTCATAGAAAGCAGAGTTTTCTAAGTTCAGTTCAAGATCTATATCCTGTAATTCTTCACAGCTACCCAAAGAAGGCATTTGGAGGGAAAAAAAGAAAATTATTTCAGAGATTCCAAACAGACAAATCAAGTGTAAAATGAAACAAGATCTTAAATGTGTTTTACAGTCATAAGGACATATTCTATCAAAAATATTTAAGTTTTTGCAGTAACTAGGTGGCTCATCAATTTTGTCTAAAAGTAAGCTAAAAGAGGCATACGATTACTTTAAAAAAACACATGTAATTATGTTAGTGATAACACCAATCTTCCATAAAGCGATATTGTTAAAGTTATTATGAAAACAATTTTCCTAAAACCTTCTTCTTCCACTCCCCCAGAGCCTCCCACAAACACATATCCGGCATCACCCCAGCTTGGTCACTTCACCCCTCCATGAAACAAAGTGTATGAGCCTCCATTACCTTTTGACATCATCAGGAAAAGCCTCAGAAGAAGGGGGTATGCGGGTGTGTTTGTTTCGGATGCTCCCGCAAGGAGATGATACTCTGATGATGAGATAGAGGCTGCCTACAGATTTTACAAATAACTTGGACTTTTACTGGTGTTGTGAAAAATATCCCAGGATTTTGAGGTTGACTTTCTGTAGCCTCTTCTCTGTCCTTTTCAGTGCTGTCGGTCATCTTGGATTCTTATCCGAATATTCGATTAGGCGTTTTTTTGTAATTGAGATACAATTTTTAACCGAATATTCGAATAATTCGATTAATCGTTGCAGCCCTAAACAGAACATTTACTATGGCATTTTACAACATATGACAATGTGCAACATAAATGTATGCTTTAAGTAGTACTATTATTCAATATCATATGACATAAAATGTCACCTTTTCCTCTATTTTCATCAGAAAACGATAGAAAAAAATCTATCTCAACCTATCATCTGGTTCCTACACTAAGCATAAACATTGTGGAATACAGTAGACCATTTTAGTACCTGCACGTTTTGTTCACTGTAATAAAGTACCGACCAGATGTACGTTGCACTCAAAGTACTTTCCATTCTGAGGCTCTTGGGGTGTCCACAGCACCGCTATGAGGCCAGCATCTTTGTACCCATTTTTGGACAATGGCACATGGTGGCACAGGGAGGAGGAGTGACTTGCCTAGTGTCACACAGTAGGTCAGTGGCAGAGCCAGAAGAGCAAGCCAGAAGCTTCCCAGTCTTCTGCCTGTTCACAAGCCCACACTCCCTCCCTTGATAGAGCACTTCCAAACTTAGCTCTTCATTGGAAATGAAAAATTTTATGCTAATTTTTTTTTGTGTTTTTGCATATGCTGAGGACTCCTAAAGAGGCCATGAAACACCACAGAAACAATCAACAGCGCTTTGCTTTTGGGGAAACTAAAAGTAAAAAAGTTTCGCTGTTTTGATTCCAGACAAAAAAAGTCCAGATCTCCACGCTACAGATGCCTTCTTCCCCTTGCTCACCTTGCATGTAATAACCACAGTTTGTAGCAACACTGTTCATTTGTGCATATCTCAAAAAAGAAAGAAAGGAAGGAAGGAAGGAAGGAAGAAAACATTCTTCAATACTAACCTATTTGGCATGCTCCCTTTTTCGGTAATTGCATCACACCACATGTTAAATCCTACACTCACTATAGTGCTAGCAATAAATGTGATAAACACCACAAAGGCGCTGATCAGCAGATTCAGGAAGGCATAAAAGAAAGAGCTGCAATAAAAGGGAAGAAAAATGTAACTCATAAACAGCTGAAACCCAGCATCAGCAATCTTTCTAAGCAGCATACCCTGGGCACAGTCAAAGATACTAGCTTCCATTTGAAACACATCTGCTTTAATTAAAAACACCTAACACCACTGAAAAACTGTGGATTATGATTTTAAGTCACATTATCCTCATTTGTAAGGTCTTTTGCTTTTTATTTTTATTTTTTACCATAAGAGGATGGTGCTTTAAATCACAAATACTAAGCAGTGATTGTTCATACGCGGCATGGCTTTCATTAGATGTAATGATGAAAATCACCATTGTTAAAATAAATGTCATTAGCTCAAATTATATAGTAACTGGAGCTAAAATTATTTCATGAGTAAAGTGATAATTGGGACAAAGATTGCCAGGAGAAGGAAACTAAAAATAAAACAACACAGTACTGATAGCTATAATCATTTTAAGCAATGTAAGTCGTGGCACTGGCATCGTAGGACACGAATTTCAGTTTTATGGGCAATTTGCAGAGCAGGCCAGCTTCTCCTGGGATATCTCTGGCTTCAATGTCAATATGTTATTTTCTGCCAGCTGCATGTCAATTTACATCAACCCAGTTAATCTGTACTCCCAGGGCCAGCCCCAGGCACGTGGTTTGTACAGGGGGTGCAATGCTTATGATGGTCCCATAAGGCCAAGCAATTGTCCACTCATTCTCCAGCCTTGCAAATACCTGAGAGCCTTTAATCCATCCGGAAGGATGAACTGAGGTTCACTGAAAGATGAACTGTTAGCTGCTTAACTCTATCCCATAACTCTTGTAAATTAAAACGTTCCAAACCTTTCTTCATTCATCTGATCAAACTCTTCGCTACTCAAAACTGCTCTAAGTAGCACTTGAAAATTTTCATAGTCTAAAAATCAGACATCTACTCTGTACTGGAGAAAAACTGGCAACCTCAGGAGGTAGATCATCCTATAGTTAGATTGTAAAGGCAAATGCAACAAATTGCCCATCGGTGCCCCTCTCATTATGCTGAGGTTAGGAGGAGTTTCCCCACTCCAGAGATCAAAAACCACAATCATTTCTTTTCCCTGGTGGCTCATTAAACGAAAAGCTTAGAGGCTTTTTGAGTAAAGGACCAAGTCCTGGGAAGGTTCTGGGTTGGACAATCCTAATTTCTACAGATGCTATACATGGTTCAGACATTTGTGACCTCAGGAGGACATCTATGAAATGAGATAGGAAACATTTGCCACCTGCGTTAGGGTGCTTGCTCTTGGGTCAATGTGTCTGCAGAGGGGAACGTCCAGGTTCCCTCCAAAGGGCTAGTCATCCCATACCAACACTGATATAGAGAAAGTGAAATAAATCACCTTCCGGAAGTGCCTTTACAGATTAACGTGGGAGCTGCATCCAGGGACATCTGGCTTCTAGATGAATGCTGAGATGAATCCTGCTCTTGCCCTTCAGTTTCACTGAACTTTGACTAGATCATCAGCTTGCTACTGCAGAGTGCTAGGGCCACCGATTCCCATACAGCAGAGGGAGCTAGTATGAGTACACCACAGTTTTGCATGTTCACTGACCCTGCACTGATTTCACACCTAACCTAGGTTTCTTTCCAAGTGTTGCTAAAGCCATGTCCACTGTAAGCACCTTATCACAGTATTCTGGCCTAAGAGCTAGAAAACGCTTTAGCTGCCCACTGAATAATAAAAAAAGGTGTTAACATTGGAACTAATAACAGCTCTAGAAAAGGGATGGTTCCCAGGGCTAATTAGTGCACCATCATGGGACCTCCAGGCCTCACTCTAGTTCCTACCCTGGAGCAAAGGACAGGCACTAAAATCTAGAATTTGATCTTCCACTGATGAAGCAGAGCTCAATGTTGCACTTGATCTGTACCAAATGTCGCATTTCGCCTGCACCAAACATAAATAACGGTGGAGCTTCCTTGGGCCAGGCCATGCTGTCAGAAAGCCAGTGGCTGATCTAGCTCTCTGCCTCACCTATTTTTGTATTTATAACAGAATTTACACCTACACATTCACGATTTAGTGGATGCCTTGTAATGATAAATGTGCTCAGCACTTTGCAATCCTAGTAGTAAAGTGTCAGAGCTGGATCTCTACCTTGCATCTGAGTTGGATGGTCCTAGGCCCAGAGCACACCTGATAGCCCGTACTTGCCATTTCTACTCCTGCAGGCAACACAAGCTCAGTCTGAGTTCAAGCTGCTGATGTATCCCAACTGCCCTTGAGGCAGGTGATGCTGAAACCCTTCTAAGGAGGATCGATGACACTCTTAACTATCTGACAGCAAACCTTCAAAGTCATTGCACCTGAAGACTACCCATGTTGCTAGGATGCATGGGGTGCCCCCCTCTGATTGTCCTGGGCTGGTTCACCCAAAAGCTGGCCCAGTCCTGTGGCCAGGTAATGCAGACACAAAAATTCCCACCCCAGGGGAGTCAATGGCAGAACTTGCTCAATGGGATCAGCAGTGCTATTCTCCTGGTTTGTCTTCACTCGCCTCTGATCAATAATGGCATTTAACATTAGCGATGAGGAACACACATTTGTCTATCCATCCAAACAGATAGCCCTGCTTTCATGCCCTTTTGAAGTGTTAATAGATGATTGCTGAAAATCAGGACAGCATGGCTGCCTTGCTTTTCAAGTACATAGCGGCAGATCTGGGTACAGGGCAGACTGTCCCTCTTGCTAGGAAATTATGGGGTTTTAGTAGATTCTATGTTGTCCTGTTTTCACTCTTCTGTGATTGTCAAGGTTACGAATAGGCCACCAGAGAGCTGAGCGTAGAGCATAGCTCTCCTGAGCTGTTACCTGGATCACTAGGCCTCTCAGCTACTCTTACTTGGGTTTTATGCATCTTGGCGTGTCTGAGAAAGGTAACCGACTGTCAGCGCAGCCCTACTCTTGTTGCACAGAGCTTTCAGCTTGGTACTCTTGTCATAACCAAGTAATACTCATCATTCACAGTGGTTGCCATGTCCACCACAAGAGTAGGATAAAAAGAGGGGGAGGACCACCAATTGCTCCTTTCTTCCCCCCCCTCCCCCATGCAACTGTGTAGCTTCAAGGTTTTTCATACTGATCAACATCATCCAGCATACAGTTGGGGAAGGTCTGTGTCCTTCTGCAGGGATGTGTTGCGGCATGGGAGCACCATGACCAGGGGACACCTGGGAGTCCTAGCCTTGACATTGCCCCATGGCAGGTAGCACCCACTGTGCCCATCACAACTGGCTGCCTGAGCCGGCCGGATGCTCCTCCCAGGCCAGCCAAGGGCAACGGGTACACAGCAGTTAATCTGGTCCCCAACCCCAAATGACCACATGGGAGCATCCTCACCTCCCAAGTGGGCTGTGAGTGACAGCTCGGGGGGTGAGTGTATGTGGACAGACACAGGCAAGGCACCACCTCACCCTAAACCCCTCTCTGGGGGGCAGGAGGGTCCGGATAGTGCCAAGCCCAAACAAAATCTGGGGCAGCAGAGGGGGAAAGGCTTCCAGACCCCAGCTCACTTCTACTTCCCCAGGCTGCTCCTCCCTGGCCCCAATCTACAGAGGGAGTGGCCAACCCCCTGCCTTCCCCGGGGGTACTTACTCCTCGTGCCCTTTGCAGAGGAAGAAGAGGGTCCTCCAGGCCTGCACTGTGGCCAGCAGCAGGGAGAGGAGCCCGGTGAAGATGCTGAAGCGGCAAGCAGCCTCAGGCCCCCACTCCTGCACGGTGAAGCGCTGCCTTTCCACTGTCAGGTTGGCGTTGAGCCACATGCCCTCGGTGAAGAGTAAGCACCGGCCGTGGAAGTCGTTGCCATTCTCGGACAGCGGCACCACCACAATGAAGCTGAAGAGGAAGGCCAGGAAGTAGCAGATGCACTGGGCGAAGAGGAAATTGCTGAGCGCCATGTCCGTGGCTCTGCGCAGGCAGGGGGAGGGAGGGAGGGATGGAGGAGGGGGGGAAGGATGGAGGGATGAAGGGAGGGAGGGATGCTGCAGCAGTGGGGGGTGGGGAAGGAGGATGCGCAGTGCAATGCAATGCGATGCAATGCAATGTAATGTGATGCACTGAGATGTGACACAATGCGTCCTCTGGGCACAGCTGCTGCCTTTTCCCCAGACAAAGCTGACTCCTCCACCTAAATACTGATGGCTGCCAGGGTTGGGGGTGAAGGGAGAGGAAGGGCTGTTGCAGAGATCTCTTTTCTTTGGTAAAATCTGACTGCTGGTATGCCCCAGCACCCAAGGGGTTAAATAAATCAGTGCAACCCCAGCAGAGCTGAGTACCGCCTCACCGGGGTTTGCTCCTAATTTCATAGGGCACTGGTGTCACTTGTGTTGGTGCCTGTGACCACCCCCCCCCCCCCCCCAAAAAAAAAAAAAAAAAAAACCTCATACAGGCCACTGGATCCCAGCAGGTTTTGGCCCCTTTTTCTAAAAATGTAACTAAAATACTCCTGGGAGACTTTGCAGATGTCAAGTATCCATGACTGTACTCCTGCCCCAAAAGATGTCTGGAACTCCCAGAGCACAGAGTCTGCTGGGGTGCAGTGTCTTGGTGTCCCTTGGGTCCCATGTCTTTTTCCCTCAAAAGCACAGCAGGAGCCGTGAGCTCCATCCCCAACACCAGATCCCAGCATCACCTTTTGGGGCATGGGCCTTCTGCTGCAGCTACCCTTCAAACCAAGCTTGTGGTCACCAACGCAAATAGTGGCAATAAGCGATAGGGTGCATAGGAACCCCAGGGCCTGCAGACCCAGTGATTTTGTACCTAACCCAGCTGGTCCCTCCCACTTACAAGATATGTCAAGCGCCAGCAAGGGCTCACCAGGACTGGGGCAACTTGTTGAGCCTCGGTACCAGTGAGGGGCTGCTCAGAACTTGAATCAGCTGCGTTGTCTCCAGGCTGGCAGATGAAGTAAGTGTGAGATGAAGGAAAATAACCTCGAGAAAGATCAGGATCGAGACTGGGTTGACTCCCTTTCGCTGTGTTTGCACCAGCATGCCCAGGGCTCAACGATTTAGACAGTGCAATCAAACAGGTGAGGCACCAAAATATGGTAGGTGACCAATGCACACTTGGGCTAGAAGATGTGATGTGCTGGATGCCAGAGAGGGACCTTCCCTTGCCAACTCCAAACCAGCATCAGGGACAGCCCCAGCTCGGCAGGGCTGCCGGCAGTGCCACCTCCCCAGGAAACTTGAAGCTCACTGACTGACTCCCCTGCCACAGCTCAGGCTGGGCAATGAGCTGAAAAAGGACCAGCTCCAGCTCTGGGAACAGCAACTGGCACACAACAGCAACACAGTGCCCAGTGGGGATAGGCATTGCTTGCTTGATTCCCGGGGTGGGCATCTACTATGCTCTGCAGTGCCACAACCAATTCCCTGCCCCACACCGCTCTTGGAAAGACACTGTGGTCTCCCCTCAGCTTTAGTGCCCAAACCTGCATGGCCAGGATGCAAGAAAGCAAAACACAGACAGAGGGGTGTGAATTGTACTCACCCACTTGTAGTAATTTCTTATGAATTCTCAGCCTGCTCCTTTGGCACAGGAATCCAAACTCAGCTCACCCCACATTAGAGTTTCTTCTCAATCTCGGTTTCATTTTTCTATTTCAACTTGATTCCTCCTTCCAAGACAAAACACCACAATTCATTTCCAGTACCAGGTAAAGTCATTTCCTAATCAGATCCAGTCTGAGCTCCGCTGCAGGTCTCACATCACTTCCTAATCCCAGGTCTGTTTCTGCTCATTTGAGGCAGTGTAACATTTCCCAGGTAGTGTTTAGAGGGACTGGTACCCTGACTATACTGCACATAGGATTTCAGGCTTCTTTTCCATTGGGCATCAAAACAACTATTTCCCTATGCTATTAAGAGGCTACAGATACAATCCTGAGGCAGTTGCTGGGTGGCTTCTCACTGAGGCTATTATTTCAACTTCCTCTTAAATCATTTCCAATCAGTATTATCTTGAAATCTCACTCAATCCGTACAGGGAAAATACTTTTTTTGTGCAGAATCTGCTTCTTGAATGAAAACTTTCTTCAGTACACCTCTGTCTGATGAAATGTGTCAGGACATTTTTTCTGATCCTTACCCAACTCTGATCATCAAAGACTGTATTTCAATTTTGCAGGATGAGTTATAGAGCACTGGCCTGACCCTTTAGAAATAGACACGCATCCTAATAGAAAAGAGTTCACTGATGTTTCAGAGTCTAGTAGTAAGGAGGAAAGATTATTGCTCTTAACTTTACTTCCAAGCAAAGCCAGCTTCCCAAGGGGTTTTGTCCTTCATCTGGAAGGAAATCAGACCTGGACTGAGCTGGAAAATTCTTTTCTTTGAAACCTGACACACCAGATTTGCCAGATAATAGTTTCTGAAGTTAACTTAGGAGGTCAACACAAACATAAAAGCTGAGTTGTTGCTTAAAGCACAGCCCACACAAGGGGCCTGCAGATGCCCAGGGCTCTTTGCCTGGGGCAAGCCCAGTGCTCATATCTTAGCAGCAGCAACTACCGGGCTCTGCTGCAGGAGAGCAACTGCAGAGCTGGAAAGTGAGGGCCACTCGTAGTGTATGTAGAGTTGTCTATCCTCATGAGCAAGCTCAAAGCAGCATTTATCTGAGAGTTTCAGAAAATACAGTTAGGCATTTCTGAATGTTTACAGACATGTAAAACATAGCAGCGCTCAGGTGACTGTCAGTCACTGATGTGCAGTTCTTGGTTGGATGAAGAGACCACGCATGAGTGCACAGAAGGACAGGGTCCAAACCTGTCAGCTGTGACCTGTTTCGCAGCTGACCAAATTTCACTTACTCTTCTTTCATGTAAATCCTAATAAACATCATACTAGGTAGGAACTGAGACTGTCTTAAACACTGAGCTGTTTTACTGGAATAGATTGATGATGCTTAAGAAATCTTAAATAGGCTTGGTCTCCTTAAAATGGCACAGCTGGAGTAGAGGAGATATGACAGAGATCTATAAAACCAAGACAAGGTCTTGATAAAGCCAGTTCAAATTAAGACAATTCATTCTTCCTCATACCACAGGGAATAGAGGACATATATAAACAGAACAGGGAGAAATTTTAAAATAAAGAGATTAACATCTTTCACATAGCACATCATTAATCCGTGGCACTCAACACAGGACACTATAGAGCCTCAAAATAAATACCAGTTCAAAAAAAGATTAGACAAATTAATAGGAAAAAAGCCCATCAAGGGCTACAGGACACACAGCTGGGCAAGTAACCCTCAGCTCAGGAAGGCCCTAAACAGCAGATTACTGGGAGCACACGGGCACAGAATTACCACCCTGCATTTGCCAGAGTCCTCCTCCATTTGTCACTAAACCAAGTGACCATTACTGGCTGCCATTGGAGACAGTATCCCAGGCGAGAGAGTCCTGTAATCTGATGCCCCATGGCCATTCCACGTTCTCATTACAAGGGCTGACGTTACTAGGTCTCCTTTTCAGCTTTGCCATCCAATGAGAGCGTGCTATCCCTCCAAAGTGTCCCCCTTCTGTGGACGTGTATCACCTGAGGCTTTTGGCCGGGGTTACCCGTGGGGCATCTGTAAGGCCAGCATCCCCACCAGCAAGCAGCAGCACCTTGGACATGATGTCCCAGACCTCCAGCCTGCAGCTTGGAGGGGACATCCCAACTCCAGGGCTTTCTGAAGAGGGCCTGAACTCCATCTCCTGCAGGCAATATGCCCCGAGGGGACCCTGTGCTGATGTGCGATGGGAGACAGGTTGTTTGCTGTTACAGAGAGCAATATCCAAAGACCAAAAATTCTATTTGTGTGAAAAAAAGTCACAAAAACAAAGCAAACTGTGAGACCAGTTGCTATCGCCGCCTCACTGTTAAGCTGAAAAGCAACACAAATATACCAAGATCAGATGTACCAGATTTGCCAATATTCCCCTCTGTCCCATATCTCCATCTCGTCTCCTGTCTAAACCCCTGTGGATCAAGTAACACTATAAGCTAGACTGACATGGGATGACTGATGGGAACTGTGGTTTTGACTGTGCTGCTCCATGCTCCCTCTCAAGCCATTAATTATGCTATGTGACATGAGCAGTGCTCTCAAGTCGATATTTGTGAGGCAAGTGATGAATTTTCTCTCCTCCTGATAGCTCATTAGGACATGTTTTATTATGGGAAAAATTGCTGAGGAGTTAATTATTCAGGTAAAGGCATTTTTGTGAGCAACATTATTTATTTATATATTTATTTTCCCTTGGATATATCATTTCCGTGGTCCAAGAAAAATAATGGCTGCCTGTTTAGAAGATGGCTACCATCTTGGTATCAGTGATGCATTATTTAACCTCTGAGCAGAAAACGAAGTGTCACAGCTATATCTCTGCAGAAAGCTGTCTAGGGAGCAGTATGTCTATGCTCTAGACAAAAAGATCCAATGGAAATGGCTGCCTTGGAGCTAGCCCATCTGCCACTTGGAGCCAACTTCACCCTGCTTTCATTGAGCCAAACGGCTGCTGGAGCCGATTTTATCAAATGGTTTAGCAAATGCAGCTCGTCCATTAAATGTCGCAAGCCAGCTCCAGGATCTGGTCTGTTTTATTATTTTATTAATCTATTATCGCTATTCCACAAGTCTTGACCCATAAAATTTGTCCTCTGAGACTCATAGAAAGGACACAGGCATCCCACATGTCTTCTTATGGCAGTTATCATAGGTTACCGCTTTTGGGGAGAGGTTTCTCATGGTAATCACTATGTTTAAGAAGGTGGCTGCCATTAGTTCAGAGGGATTATAGAAAAAGTACCTAACTGTCAGCCACCTGTCACATCTACATTTCTTCACAGCTACTACAGCATCATGAATCTCTTAGGGCATCTTATCTGGGAACATCTTGACATTTTGCTTTCTTTTTGTGTAATTTTTTTTTTTTTAAAGTACTTCTATTCTGCAAAGAAAGCTATCTTGTCTACAAGGAGATTACAGGCAGAGAAGGTGCCACATTGATGGAC